ATATTTCCTGAAATAACTTTTTATTTGTTCATGGAATTTTTTTTTCACCAGCTGGACGAAGGGTGGGGGGGGGGGGGGGGGGGGGGGGGTGCGGGTGGTGGTTCTCATTTTAATTTCTTTCCTTAAAAGACTGCCTCACTACTGAACTAGAATGTCAGCCTATAGATCATGCAAAGTATAAGTCCCTGGCTGGGACTTGACCCCAAAGATTTTCTGATTGAGGAGAGGTCCCCACTGAGACAGGGCTGGCATTTTGGGAAGATGAAAGAGGACATCATGAGAGATCCAAGGGATGTTACTGAATTACTGAATTATCACAGTGCAGAGAGAGAGAGAGAGACCATTCAGCCCATCAGATCCTCAACTGCTCTCCAAATGAACATCATGATTTACTGCCATTCTTTTGTCCTTTCCCCATTGTTTGTATTTGCATTGCAGTCCCTAATTACTCGCTGAGTGAAAGGTTGTATCTCACCTCGCATTTGCTTCTTTCGCAAATCACTTCAAATCTGTGCCCCCTTCCCTTACGAACAGGGACAGTTTATTCAGTCCAAAACACTCCTGATTTTGAAAACCTCTATCAAATCTGCACTTAGCTGTCTCTCCCCAAGGAAAACAATCCCAACTCCTCCAATCTGTCCACATAGCTGAAGCGTTTTATCCCTGGGACCATTCTAAACAAATGTGAAGGGTTTGGAGAAGCGGGCGGGGAAACACGAAACCCTGGAAAGGCGCTGTGGAATGCTGGTGGCTCAGGAGTATGGTCTGAGGTTTGGTTTTGCTTCCAGCAGACTCCACTCCACGGTGGCGTGACTCTGCTCCTGGTTTTCTTGTGAAGCACCTGGGCAGGTACTGAATGCCACTTCAATAGCTGTAATAACAGGGACTGGTTCAGCAAGTTTTCCAGCAGTCAGACCGGGAGCACATTCGCGTAGGATGAGGACAGAAACCTGCAGATGTACGAAGGGACATTTTAAGACCAGCTGCTTGGAACTAAGGTAAAGAAGCCTTAACAAAAGTCAGAATATTTAGCGACAAGGAGCTATTTACATTTTAAAAAAAAAATCTAACGTCTTGCTTAACTCCAATAGTTAACTCGGCAATTCCCTCGCCTACTGCAGGAATGTAGAAATAACACCGATCAGAAACAGGAATAATGAGTACAGGGTTTCTGCACTGGCTTTTCTTAAACGCAGATTTTGTATATTTGGATTAGAGCGGTCATAATTTGTTGTTTATTTAATATCAGGGAGTCAGTTTCTGACGAGAGGGCAGGAGCAAGGTCTGTGCAAAAATAAACAAAACAACCAGCTAAAGTTCTGTGAAGTTAATCTGGCGATTCTTAAATAATAGAGGAAGAGTCTTCAAGGTCAAACCTGTAACAGGCAGATGTGTGTGATTGTTGATGTGAACGAGCGTGGAAGGGGTCAAAATCAGTTCGGACTGTTTTGAATTGGAGCCGAGTGTCGATCGTGGAGAAAACTAATCTCTGAACGACATTAGATTAAAAAAAACCGAAAGAACTGCGGTGGTGTAAATCAGAAACCAAAACAGAAATTTCTGGAAAAGCTCAGCAGGTCTGGCAGCATCTGCGGAGAGAAATCAGAGTTAACGTTTCGGGTCCAGTGACCCTTCCTCAGAACCCTGAATGAACTACATTGTCTGTTTGTCAAAAGACTACGCTGGGATTTAGGGAGCTCGTTGCGGGACTACAGAACTTCCCAAAAAAGCACGTTCTTTCCAAATCCAGTCACCTTTGCAACGCAGGGAACACAAGCCAATCTCCGCACAGCAAGGTCCCAAAATTAGGAATGAGATGTGGTGAGCAAGTAATCCCTTTTTTAGATACGTTGGTTGGGGGATACACGATGGCCAGGACTTACCCTTCCTCTACTGTAGTGCCCTGGCAATCTCTGAGGTCCAGCAGATGGGGTCAGTTGTGTTTAGATTTGGAACATGTCATCTGACAGATGGTGTCTGTAACAGTGCAGCACTCCCACATCATGGCACTGGAGTGACTCAAATTACTCAAATCCTTCTGACTGAAAGTGGGGTGTGCTGCCAACCCAGTCACAAATTACACCTTTGTAGATGAGTATTTAGAAATAAGAGATGATTTGTTTCTAAAATATTGAGAGAACATCCCTGTGTCACACAGCTGTCATATCCTTTCCAGGGAGAAATGGTATATCTTTCTGCAATTTTAAAGTATTTATGCAGCAGGCAAGGCTCATCAGCTCCTTGGTAAAACTATCCTTCTCCCAGAAAATATTTCCACCTCAAGAACTTAATTCTCATTTGAAAGTTACTGTTGAATCTATTAATCTGCCTTTTCAGATTAAAATTTGCTGCATTGAAATATGTTTTCTCACATTGCCTCTAGTCTTTTTGCTAATCATCTTGTGAACTCTGATTACTGACTCCCTTGTTATTGGAATCTGTTTTCTCTTTAGTTACCCAGTCGAACTCACTTCTGATTTTGAACGCTTATCAAAGCTCCATTTAACCTCTCAAGGAAAACAATCCCACTTTCTTTCCACATAACCAAAGTCACTCATTGTTGCTTCAATTCCATTAAGTCTCTTCTGCACCTTCTCCATGATCCTTCCTGGAGTGTGTTGTCCAGAATTCGACACAATCCTTTAGCTGAGCCTAATCAGTCCTTTATAAAGGTTTATCATCGAGCCGTATAGCACAGAAACAGACCTTTTGTTCCAACTTGTCCATGCCGACCAGATAATCCCAAACTGATCTTGTTCCATTTGCCAGCATTTGGCCCATATCCTTCTCTACCCTTCCTCTTCATGTACCCATCCAGATGCCTTTTAAATGCTGCAGTTGTATCCAATTCCACCACTTCCTCTGGCAGCTCATTCCATACATGCACCATCCACTGAGTGAAAAACCTACCCCTCAGGTCCTTTTTAAATCATTCCCCTCTCACCTTAAACCTATGCTGTCTAGTTTTGGATTCCTCTACCCTGGGAGAAAGACCTTGGCTATTCACCCTATCCATGCACCTCATGATTTTACAAACCTCTATAAGGTTCTGATGCTCCAGGGAAAACAGCCCCAACCTATTCACCCTCTCCCTGTAGCTCAAACCCTCCAACCCCAGCAACATCCTTGTAAATCTTTTCTGAACCCTTTCAAGCTTAACAACGTATTTCCATTTTTTACCTTAATTATTAAAGCCAAAGATTCTATATGCTTTATTAAACCATCCTATTTCCTGCCACCTTCAGTGATTTTTAAATATGCATACCTCCGGATCTCTCTGTTTCTGGAACCTCTATAATATCGCACAATTTAGTTTATATTGCCTCTCTTCATTTTTCCAATCCCAAAATGTCTCACTTTGTGTTAAATTTAATCACGTGACTGGCCATTCTACCAGTTTATGTCTTCCTGAAACCTTTCACTCTCCTCCGTATTGTTGATGACATTTCCAGATTTAATGTCACCTGCAAGCTTTGAGATGGTGCCCTGTAAAAGCAACTGCAGCTCATTGATGCGTATTAGAAAGAGCAATAGTCCTCATAGCAATGGGAAACTGGAGACCTGCCTCCAGGCTGACAAACAGTTGTTCACCATTTATCAACAAAAACCAAAAGAACTGCGGATGCTTTAAATCAGAAACAAAAACAGAAATTGCTGGAAAAGCTCAGAGGTCTGGCAGCATCTGTGAAGAGAAATCTGAGTTAACGTTTCGGGTCTGGAGACCCTTCCTCAGAACTGATGCTAGCTAGGAAAATTTGGTTTATACGCAGAAGATAGGGTGGCGGAAGAGGGTAAGGAGTAAACGATGGATGGGGATTGAGCCTAAAGAGAGAGAACATTTGAATAGACAAAGGAGTAGATAATGAAGCTCAGCGCAAGCTGGAAGAACAACACCTCATTTTCCACTTGGGGACCCTGCAGCCTTCTAGATTCAATACCAAGTTCAATAATTTTAGGACCTAAACTCTCCCATGTCCTAGCCCCCAACTCCACACAACAGAGATAACAAGGTATAGAGCTGGATGAACACAGCAGGCCAAGCAGCATCAGAGGATCAGGAAAGCTGACGTTTCAGGCCTAGACCCTTCTTCAGAAATGGGGGAGGGGAAGGGGATTCTGAAATAAATAGGGAGTGAGGGGGAGGCAGATAGAAGGTGGATAGAGGAGAAGATAGGTGGAGAGGAAACAGACAGGTCAAAGAGGCGGGGATGGAACCAGTAAAGGTGAGTGTAGGTGGGGAGTTAGGGAGGAGATAGGTCAGTCCAGGGAGGACGGACAGGTCAAGGGGGCGGGATGAGGCTAGTAGGTAGGAGATGGCGGCTTGAGTTGGGAGGAGGGGATTGGTGGGAGGAAGGACAGGCTAGGGAGGTGGGAACAAGCTGGGCTGGTTTTGGGATGCGGTTGGGGGAGGGGAGATTCTCCAGCATCTGCAGTTCCTACTCTCTCCACACAACAGACCTTGTTATCACATGGTCTGTCATTAAACTAGCCACTAACAGTCTCCACCAACAGCTACTCACCCTCCCAGACTGATCGTTATCCATTCCTCTGTCTGTCCAGCTATTCTTCTCTCTCTTTGGGCTCTATTCCCATCTATTGTTTACTCCTTACCCCTTCCCCCCACCCTTTCTTCTGTATGTAAGCTGACATTTTCCCAGCTACCATCAGTTCTGAGGAAGGGTCACCAGATCTGAAACGTTAACTCTGATTTTTCCTTCATGGATGCTGCCAGACATGCTGAGCTTTTCCAGCAACTTCTGTTTTTGTTCACAATTTCTCTCTGCTTTCTCTCCCATGGCCAAATGTGTATCTGTCCTGACACTGTCTCTTTAATCCCAGGGACTTTAGTTTTATTAAAAGCATGTGATATTTCACCTAATACCTGTTGAATGTCAAAAAATTTGACATACCTTGGCCCCTTGCCCAACACTTCCACAATCACTGCCCTGGCACCAGCTCTGGCTATTCCCTCCTCTAGTCCTTCTCTCTGCTCCCCCAGCCCCAATACTGAGCCCAACAGCATGAAGTCTGAGCAATTCAACCTCTATCTCTGTCTGTGTCTCACTGCTAGTGTGACCCTGAATTATGTCACAGAATTGTCATGGTGCATAATGAAGCCATTTGGCCTATTTCGTCAGCGCCATCTCTCTTAGTGACGACCTCCTGCCTTGTCCTTGGAACCCTGCGTATTGTTTCTACTTAAAGAACCATTCAATATCTTCTTGAATGCTCCTGTCAAATCTACTTCCATCACACTTCCAGGCAGTGCATTCCAGACCCAAACATATCTTCTCTGAGAAAGGCTTATTTCTAACCTCACATTTGCTTCTTTTGCAAAACATTTCAAAGCTAATGCCCTCTGGTTCTCACTCCTTTCGAAAACCTCTATCAAATCTCCTCACAGCCTTCTTCTCTCAAAGGAGAACATGCTCAACTTCTCCAATCACATTATGTAGAAGTAGATCCTTTATTATCACCGAGTCATCTCTCCTGCAACCATAGATGTGTGGCCATGGGCTATGAGGCATGATTTGCTTGTCTTTCTTTGGTGGTTGAACGTTACTCGCTGTCTGGGATGAGGTGCAAGGGTTGACTGCAGGCTGGTTCCCCCCAGTTTCTTCATTGTGTTCAGGAGAGGCGTGAGATTAATGGATGAAAGATGATTGATAGAGGAAAGATAGAGCAGATAGCAGTGAGCAAATATTCTACAGAGCAGCCATTTCTGGGACTATGTGAAGAGTGTTAGGGAAATGGTAGCTTTCTATAACACAGTTTGTAATGTTACAGAAAACAACAAATGCTGGAGATCACAGTGGGTCAGACAGCATCCGTGGAGAGAGAGCAACTTAACGTTTCAAGTCTAGATGATCTCCGTTAGAGGTGAAGTGATCTCCAGCATTTGTTGGTTTCAGTACAGATTCCAGCACCTGTAGTAATTTGCTCCTACAGTTGTAATGTTACAGAGATTGTTTGACCGTGTCAGGAGATGAGGGAGTAAGTTCACACAGTTTATCGTCTCCAGTCATTTTACCTGCACTCACTGAGACCCTGTTGGGAGCTTCACTTTGAGTTGAGAAGTCTCTGCAACAACACCATCTCCTCCATAATAATAGCCTGAGCAGACAGTAATGGTGTGGCCAGAATTGTGAAGGTAGGAATACTGGACATGATCCGTTCTTGGGGACCTTGGGATGGTGTAAAGGGGAGTGAAGTAGGAAAATGAAAGAATAAAATGAATTTCCCGCTCAGAAAAGAAGGAAAGAGTGAGAGGGGGAAAGAGTGAGAGGGCACAGATTTAAAGTGATGTGCAAATGAAACAAGGTGATGTGAGAAAAATCTTTTTCATACTGTGTGTGAGTGGTCAGAGTATGGAATGTGCTGTGGTGCAGCAAGGTTCACATGAGGCATTCAAAAGGTCATTGGATGATTATTGGGATAGAAACAGTGTGCAGGGAAATGGGGAAAAGGCAGGAGAGTGCACTAGGGGATAGAACATGATGTAGGCACAATAGACTGAATGGCCTTCCTTTGCACCATCACAATTCCGTGTCCTGTGATTTATATAACACCTCTTATGACCTTGGAAAATCTTGAAACCAATGGAATTCTTTTCTGATGTAGTCTTTTTGTGATGTAGGAAATGCAGCAGCAAACCCCCATGGACTGATATAGATCAGGTAGTCTGTTTTTGATGTATTGGTGGAGAGATAAATGTTGTCCAGGCAGAGGAACCATTGAGCTCTTCCCTGAAATAATGCTGTGAGATCTTTTACAGCCACCTTAGAGGCTGATGAGACTTCAATCTCATCTGAATGATGGCACCTCTTTTGATTTGATTTGATTTGATTTAATTTGATTTACTATTGTCACACGTATACCTCAGTACAATGAAAAGTTTTGTTTTGTGTGCAGTACAGACAGATTATGCCTTACAAAGTGCATTAGGGTAATATAACAGTGCGAAGAGTACAATGTTACAACTGCACAGAAGGTGCACAAAAAGCGAGATGGACATTTAAATTTGAAATTTGAAAGGTCCATTCAGCTGTCTAATACAGCAGGGAAGAAGCTGTTCTTGAATCTGTTGGAACATACGTCTAAGCATCTGTATTTTCAGACTGACAGAAGAGGTTGGAAGGGAGTAAAACCGGAGTAGAAGAGGTCTTTGATTATATTGGTTCCATTTCCATGGCAGCGAAAAGGACAGACGGAGTCAATAGACTCCTTCAGCACTGCATTGGAGTGTCAGCCAGGATGCCAGGCTCAACTACAGGAGTGGAAGTTGAACCCAGGACCTTTTGACTCAGAAGCAAGACAGTGCTGGCCACTGATACACAAGGCTTATTTTTTGTTTTCACAGTCATCGACAGTCATAGAGTTATACAGCACTGAAGAGGCCTTTACCCCATCGGGTCTGTGCTGACCTATCCACACTAATCCCAATTTTCCATGGGATATGAGCATTAAAGGCTGGGGCAGCATTTGTTGCCCATCTCTAGTTGCCCGAGAGAAGGTGGTGGTAAGCTGCCTTCTTGAGCCAATGCAGTCCATGTGCCGTATGCCACCATGCCATTAGGGAGGGAATTTCTGGACTTTGATCCAGTGACAGTGAAGGAACGATGATATATTTCCAAGTCAGGATGGTGAGTGGCTTGGAGGGGAATTTGCTCGGGGTGGTGTTCCCATGTATCTGTGCCCTTGCCCTTCTAGACGGAAGTGGTCGTGGGTTTGGAAGGTGCTGCCTGAGGATCTTTGGTGAATTTCTGCAGTGCATCTTGCAGATAGTACACACTGCTGCTACTGAGCGTTGGCAGTGGAGGGAGTGAATGCTTGTGAACGTGGGGTCAATCAAGCGGGCTGCTTTTTCCTAGATGGTTCTTGAGTGTTGCTTTGAACTGAGTGGTTTGCTCAGCCATCTCAGAGGAAAGTTAGATGTTAGTTCCTGATTTACAGCATCTGCAGTTCTTTTGGTTTTTAATTTAGATGTTAGTCAAATTGCTGTGTGTCTGGAGTCACATGTAGGCCACAGCAGACAAGGGTAGCAGATTTCCTTCCCTAAAGGACATCAGATGGGTTTTTACAACAATCGATGATAGTTTCATTGTCACTATTATTGGGATTGGCTTTCAATTTCAGATTTTATGAATTGGATTTAAATTCCACCAATGAGATAACAGCTTCAAGGGTGAGCAGAGATTGTGATATTGATGCTTCCCTTTCTTTGATCTTCCAGGCTGATCAGACGGAGATGAGCAGGCTCAGTTTGCTGGGAAACATGCGTCGAGGAGGCTCGGACACCAACCTGAACCTTACGGTGACCGATGGCTTGCTGGACTTCCAACGGGACCGGCAGACAGTTGAACAGCTGAAACAGAAGATTCTGAAACTCACTGAGCAGTTGCGGATCGAGCAGGAGGTCCGGGACGAGAACGTGGCTGAGTACCTCAAACTGGTGAACAATGCCGACAAGCAGCAGGCACGACGTATCAAGCAGGTCTTTGAGAAGAAGAACCAGAAATCCGCCCAGGCTATTGCTGGGCTGCAGAAGAAGTTTGACCATTACCACCGCAAGCTCAGGGACGTGGAGCAGAATGGCTCACGCAATTCCAAGGAGCAACTCCCAGACTTACAAAATAACATGAGGGAGGTGGGCAATGCCAGGCAAGGGGCCGCAGGGGGACCTGGCATGGAAAGCAGGAAGAGCCTTCCAGGCGTCACCCTGACCCCCCCATCTTCCGTCTTCAACAAGCCGCGCGAGATCGCCATCCTGATCCGCAACAAGTTTGGCAGCGCGGACAACATTGCCCACATGAAGAGCTCCATGGATGACTTCCAGCAGGACTCTGGGCCCAGGACCTTCAGCAGGAGTGCTATGCTGATGTCCAAACCCAAGTACCTGAGTGACGATGAGTGCTCCAGTGGCAGTGACTTTGCAGACAGCAACGGCAACTCCGATTTTGGGGTCACCACCAGCCCAAAGTCCAACTCACTGGAGAGAGAGACAGACAAGTTGGCCGCCATCTTGGACGAGCTCCGGGAAATGAAGGAAACGCAGTCGCAGTTGTCACAGGACATCGAGAAGTTAAAAATTCAGTTCAGCAGCGACTTTAGCCTTATGACCCAAACATTACAAGAGGAACACTACAGGTAACCATTTGTTGTCAAGTTTGGGTCATTAAGTATACTTGAGATAGGCAGATTTATAATCAGTATGGGAATCAAGGATTACAGGGAAAAGGCAGCAGTGATGTTGTGAATTATCATATCAACTGTGATCTACTAAATGGCAGATTAAGCCATCTAATTGATGGGCAGAATGGCTTATTTCTGCTCTTACGTCTTATGGTCTTATTTTGGAATTGTAACATCAAACAGTATCCTTTGCCTCCTGGATCTGTGCTCATTTAGCCTGAGGCACCATTCCGCTGCTTTGCAGAATCTGTTGTCTAACCTTTAGGCCAATATTCAATATTTTTTTAAAAACCACCATGTGCGGGCCCATTACAAACTCCTTTCTCATCCACCTCCCTAACCAATGACTGAAGTGGATTAGACTGTTCATGACCCACTGACTATATGAGCTTGAGCTGATCTCTCGACAATATGTTGTCACAACTCACTGGAATAGCACAATGGAAATCAAGCCCAGCTACAGGGGGAGTCGTCACAAAAGTTAAAATTCTTAGAAGTAACATGCAAAATCCACAACTTCAATGACAATTAACCATACAGTCACTGGCAGCCAGAGGACCATTGTCATTGATTATTGACCACTAGCCCCACTAATCAATTTCACCTACAAAGAGCCTTTTGCTTTCAGTTTGTCTGCACATTGTTGGAACCCACAGCTACACAGAGTTCACAATAGGTATCAAATTACTTACTTTCAAAAAATGCAGCCATTCTTGTAAATCTCTGGTTTTAAAAACTGTTCTTTCTCACTTCAGTTCATGGTTTTCAAAAGTGCATACATAAAAAGACAGGGTCTTTACATGCTTCTACTCTTGAGAAAATGAAACCCTATTTCAAAAATGCATTTCTTTATAAAACATGGGATATACAAACCACAAATCACATCCATTCATTGTTCCTCTCTCCCCAGTTTAAACAATCTTAACATTTATTGAACGTTTCAGCATCCTCATTACCTTTACTAGAACAGTGGGATTATGGAAGCTTGGAATTGAGTTTAGGTCACATAAATACGGCATTTCCCTTGAATTGGGAAGATTATGGGAAGATCTAATTGCAGCGTTTAAGATTATCAAAGGTAGATAGAGGGAAGCATTTTCCTGTATGGCTGGGGGAGGTGGGGAGGAGCAGGGAGAGAAAGGTAGGCCCAGAACAAAGAGACACAATGTTCAGATCGAGTTGGCCTTTCAGAAGCATCTCAGAGTGAGGGGTCATCTGTTTAAGACAGAGACAAGGAGAAATTTTTTCTCTTAGAGGGTAGTGAATCTGGAATTCTTTTCTGCAAAGACCTATTGAGTCTGGGTCATTAAGTATATTCAAGACTGAGATAGATTTTTAATCAGTAAGGGAATTAGTGATTATGGGGAAATGTCAGGAAAGTGGAGATGAGGATTGTTAGCTCAGCCATGATGTTGTTGAATGGTAGAGCACACTTGAAAGACTGAATGGCCTAATTCTGTTCCTATGTCTTGTGGTCTTATGATGACAGGAAGGCTCCTCCTGTCGCAAAGCTCCTGACTCACGTCAGCCTCCTTTTATCCAGCGCTATGACATCCCTGTCAATTGATGTGGCTCTCCCTGTTTTGGCCTAATTATTTCTGTGTGTAATGGTGCAATCTGATCACCTGATGGGGCTGTATCCCAGCATAAAATACAGGATACTCAGTTTAAAGTTAATTAAAATTGTCCAAACTCGGACTGGGACTTCAGAACACACATCCTCTCTGTGGAATGCAGGTGTTGAATATTCAAACGACTAGCTGAAGTAGACCATTCTGCTCCTTGAACCTGCTCTCCCATTCAATACAATCATGGCTGTATTTGTGTCTTGTATTCCACATTTCCCTGTAACCCCTGACGACCTGTGATTTTAGTGCCTAACAAGAAGCTATGCATCTCTGTCTTAAAAATATTCAATGATCTTGCCTCCACACTGGCGAGGCAAAGAGTTCAAAACTCCCTGAGAGAAAAATATTCCCCTCATCTCTGACCCCTGAATTTTAAAACCGTGCCCCTTAGTCCTGGACTCACCCACAAGAAAGTGGGTGGTATCCTTTCCATGTCCACCTTGTCAAGATCATTCAGGATATTATAGACTTCAGTTGAGTCACCCATCACTCTACTAAATTGGTTAGCACTGCTGCCTCACAGTACCAGGTTTGATTTCAGCCTCGTGTCTGTGTGGAGTTTGTACATTCTCCCTGTGTCTGCGTGAGTTTCTGCTAGATGCTCTAGTTTGCTCCCACAGTCCAAAAATGTGCAGGCTAGGTGGATTGGCCATGCTAAATTGTCCCATAGTGTCCAGGGATAGTAAGAACTGCAGATGCTGGAGTCAGAGATAACATAGTGTGGAGCTGGAGGAACACAGCAGGCCAGGCAGCATCAGAGGAGCAGGAAAATTGACGTTTCGAGTTGGGACCCTTCTTTTGAAGTTCAGAAGGGTCCCGACCCCAAATGTCAACTTTCCTGCTCCTCTGATGTTGCCTGGCCTGCTGTGTTCCTCCAGCTTGATGGTGTCCAGGGATGTATAGGCTAGGTGGATTAGCTATGGGAAATACAGAATTATAGGGATAGGGTGGGATGCCCTTCAGAGGATCGGTGCAGACTTGATGGGCCAAATAGCTTGCTTCCATGCTGTACAGATTCTATGAAATTCCAGTGGAAACAAGCCCAGTCTGTTCCTCATTAGACCACACACTCTCATCCCAGGACTCAATCCAGTAAACCGTGCATTGTGACATAAATGTAACACATCAGTCTTGCACTGACTCAACCCCACTCCCAAGCCTGGAGCATCAGTGGGTTCCTGAATTAGTGAGCTGTCAAAAGGGAATGTAAAATATTCCATGGCACAATTCAACATTGAGCTTGGGATGTTCTCCTTGATTTCCTAGCTAATATTTACCCTTTTACCAACATCAGTAAAACAGTTTATCTGCTCATTACCATATTGCTCTGCACAAATCATCGGCATGTTTCCTGCGATACAGCACTTCCAAAGTTATTCATTTGCTGTGAATTGCCTTGGGACGGTCCTGAGGTTATGGAGGTGCTATCAGAATTCAGGTCTTTCCTTTAATAATTAGGCGGTCACTTTAAATGTGGAGCACTTTAAAGGTTTGCCTGTGTTTTTTAGGTCAGCCCGTCTGGAAGATCAGTTAAATGATCTCACAGAACTCCATCAGCACGAGACCATTGATCTAAAACAGGAGCTGGCCAGCATTGAGGAAAAGGTGGCCTATCAATCCTACGAGCGAGCCCGTGACATGCAGGTACGCAGCTTTCTGTCATAATCCGTGGGAGTGCTGCTGTCTGTGTAATGTTTATACGTATGCAACATTACTGCATCATTCCCTGTGCTCACTGACCCACACTGCTGCCCCGTTTAAGCAACATCTTCTCAAATCCCTCCCTGTCTCTGGAGTTGTCCAACCATCCCAAATTGCCATGCTGTCCTGATGAAGCATCTCCATTAACGGTGGCTTACAAACGGAACTCTACCTGATGATTTGCAGATTCCTTAAATGTTAGCTACAAAGATACACAATAAAACTGGAGGAAAAGTAGTTTGTCATTTACCTGCCATTCCAGTACGGTGTTGAGTGCCAACATCCTCCTTCTACCCTAAGAGGATGCCGATGACCAGGGTTTTCCAATTGGATTGGTTCATGCTATGGGTGAAATACAGTATTGATTAGCCATTGGCTTCTGCAGAGCAGGAGACTCTCCCAGTCTTCAGGAGTTACAGGCTGATGATTGACCTATTTGGTCATGAGATGAATACACCTCCAATGTGGCCTACAAATCCTGAGGTGGGACTCGAATACAGTGATTCTGGCCCAGGGGTCAGAGCACTATCCGTGTGAGCCTCACCCATTCCCGTCAACATAAAACACAATCAGTTATCTGGATCTCAGAGTCGAGAAGATTCCTATATCCTATATCTGATTAATTTGTCACTCTTTTATTTCAAGTGAAGAGAGGTTTCATATTCAGAATCTGACCTTCCTTATTCTCTTCACAGATGTAGACTGATGCAGTGGGTCTGCCATTCTTCTTGTTATTGACAATGGTTTTCAGAATTTCTAATGTTATGACATCTTAACAGAGAAATTGATCTGTCTCCCTCTTTTTTATTAAAAATACAGAAGATTGTTACTAACTTGTTAAATCCTATGAAATAGTTCCTATTCTCTGAAATGTTTGGTGGGTATACATACACCTAGTGCAGTTAACCATGCCCCACATCATACTTCTGGACAAGACGTAAGTAAAGTTGCCAGACTCTCAGAAGACCATAGGCATTACAGACAGATGACTGGTGGCGAGTTTAACATGAGAGTCACCACACCTCAGGCGATGGGAGAGGTTGAGAAAGAATGACTTTCATGGTAACCTCAGCCAGTGTAGGAATTGAGCTCATTCTGTTGGCATCATTCCATATCGCAAATCAGCCGTGGGCAGGAGCCTGCAAAGGAACAGATGTAAATGGAGATAAAGCATTGTTCACAAAGTTACTCTCTGTTTCAGTCCTCTTTCAAGCTGACTGCTGCTAATTTCTTGTTGTGTTATGCCAACTAATTCTGTCAAGACTCATCTGGTTGGAGGAACCTTGCAAGGCACTGGAAAGAAAGAGGATCTGAAAGGATGAAATAAGCAAATTTGTGACCAATAAAGATCTCCAGCTTGAATGAACTTAAAACATGTGATTGCGTATAAATAGAACTTCTTACACACCAAGAAAAAATCAAAGAGAGGACAAATTCTTTTAAAAAGTATTTAGCCTGTCAGTTTAGTTGTGTTACTCATGCTTTCATGAATTCCAGCCTCTGATTGTAAGATGCTTTGGAGCTGTGTTGTCACACTTGTATCCAAACTCGCACCAATTCCCATTCACCCATCACCCCTGTGCTCATTGGCCCCAAACTGCCATGCCTCACTTCTTATCCTTGTTGGTAATTCCCTCCATAGCCTCATTGTCCCACTGTGTCTGTACCCTCCTTGAGCCCTAAAGCGCTCTGAGATCTTGTTGTATCTCTATTTCTAGCCTGCTGCCTGTTCCCCATTGGTGCTGTGCTCTCAGTTGTCCGGTACTGAAGCCTAGAATTCCTGTCATCATAGAATCATAGAATCCCTACAGTGTGGAAGTGGGCCATCCCGTAACCCTGCATTTCCCACGGCTAATCCACCTAGCCTGCACATCCCTGGACACTATCAGCAATTTTAGCATAGCCAATCCACCCAACCCACACATCTTTGGATCTCCCTATCTCTCCAGATTACTACCTCACATTCTTGCTTTAAGATTCTCCTTCAAACCCAGTTTTATGACCTTTCAGGTATCAGGTATCTTGGTGACACTTTTTCTGGTTATAAGTTCCGGTTCTTAAGTCACGGTCTTTATCAGAAGCCCTGTCTACCTGGCCAAGCCGATGAAGAATATCCTTTTGGTACTACACAAGGAAGAGCAAGGCATTCTCTTTCCCCCAGTATGTGACCAGCAAATGGATTAACTATCCACTCATGGCCTTCATTTCACTTGGGTTTTTTTTATGCATTCATGAGATGTGGACATTGCTGGTCAGGCATGCAACTATATAATTCAATTCAACACAGCACAGGAACAGGCCTTTCAGCCCACCAAGCCCATGCTAATTCCTAATCCTTATTTCGACCCACTACTTATTGCCCATGTGCAGTTTCTAGCCCTCTGTTAGCCTCCTATTTATGTATCTATCAAGATATGCCTTAAACATTGCTAATGTGCCTGCTTCTACCACCTCCGCTGGTAGTGTGTTCCAGGCATCCACCACTGTCTGAATGAAATATTTTCCCCACATGTCTCCCCTAAACTTTCCCCCTCACCTTGAACCTGTGGCCTCTTGCAGTTGACCTTTCCACCCTGGGAAACAGCCTCTGACTATCCACCCTTTCTATGCCTCTCATAATTTTGTCTACAACTACCAGATTGCCCCTTAGCCTCCGTCTTTCCAGTGAAAACAATCCAGGTTTATCCAACCTCTCCTAATAACTAAAACCCTCCAGACCAGGCAACATTCTGGTCGACGATCTCTGCACCCTCTCCAAATTCTTGCCCATCTCTAGCTGTGTTTGAGAAGGCGGTGATGACTGCAGTCTCTGTGCTGTAGGTTGACCCACAATGCTGTCAGGGAGGGAATTTCAGGATTTTGAATCAGTGACACTGAAGGAATGGCGATATATTTCCAAGTCAGGATGGTGAGAGGGTTGGAGGGGAGCATGCAGGTGGTGGTGTTCCCATATACCTGCTGTCATTGGCCTTCTAGAATGAAGTGGTCATTGGTTTGGAAGGTGCTGTCTAAGGAGCCTTGTTGAGTTGTTGCAATGCACCTTGCAGATGTGATCTTGTTCTCACAAAGTGGCTGATACATTGTTGCCTCCAAAGCAAAATTTGACGTACTTTGCAGTAAAATGAAAGGGACGTGTTAAAGTGCTTGACACATTGTACATGTAAATGTTTACTTTACAGAAACGAATGGAAGTTCTGCATGTCTTATTTTTAGGGCTAGATCGGCTGTATGGAGTTTGTGCAGTCCACCAATTTATACTACCGTCGTTGATACTGATCTGAGAAGATATGGGGCTAGAACTTTATTGAAATGACTGATATTATCGTTGGTGTGTGGATAGTCTGTTTCACATTACAGAATGATGATACTGAAGGAGGCATATCTATCAATGCCCCCCTTGAATGCCCCCACCACATTTCAAGGCAGTGCATTCCAGACCCTAATGACTTACTCACTTTGCTGGCTTGAATTCTTATTTTTGATTCCCACACGATCCCACAAAACTGGGATCAATCCTTGTTGTCTGTTGCCGTAAATGCCTTACTGAGGTTCAATGGTAATGCACACTCTCATACACCAACCCGGTTTCTGATGGGGTTTCGGTGAGATTAAAGCAGCAGAACATGAGGTTTCCAAACATTGATGTTGCTGATTTTCATAGATTCCTGGCAATCAATTCAGCCTGTGGCAAAGGCGCCACCAATTGAATGGGAATTCCAACCCAAGTCATTAATAGTTTGCACGATGTAGGTTTATAAGGTGGATCATGGCAGCAGAACTGTTTGCTGCTGATACTGGGCTGGAGTGAGGGAGGGACCCAGAGTAGAAGAGAACATAAGAAATAGGAGCAGGAACAGGCCATTCAGTGAGGGTATGGCTGATCTTCTACCTCAACAGCACTTTCCTGCACTACCTCCGTAGCCCTTCATGTTTTTAATGTGTAGAAATCTACCAATCGCATACTTGAACATGCTCTCAACAACCAAGTTTCCATAACCCTTAGGGGTAGAGAATTCTAAAGATTCAAAGATGTGACAGAAGGATGAAGAATACACGATTGTAATATGGCAGGAGACAATTGCAGAGCTAAGAAGGAACACCAAGCAGTTGTCTATATGCTGACATTTTAAAGACAAATAGGTTTTAAAGTATTAGTCAAAGCAGCCTTTGTTTTTCGCTCACTTTCCCACAACTTCTGATGAAAGGCCATTGACTGACTTAATTAACGCCAATTAATTTACCTAGAGTAAACCTGGGCCCTATTAACATAATTGCTCTCTATAGATGCCAGACCTAACAAGGAGTTAGCAGACTGGGCAGAGTAGATAGGGTGAAACTGTTTCCGTTTGGAAGAAATCGATTTAAAGTGACATGCAAATGAGGTGCTGGGTGATGTGAGAAAAAAAACGATTTCACACAGCGAGTAGTTCGGGGTGTGAATGCACTTCCTGGAAATGTGGTGGAGGCAGGTTCAACTGAGGCATTCATGAGGGCATTAAATTTGTTTTTGGATGGTAATGGTATATAGGAATATGGGGAAAAGGCAGGAGATTGTGTATTGGACCAGACCAAACCCCCTCAAAATATACTCAGAAGATAGTCAAGACCCTACATTTTCTTATTTTAAAGGTAAGTGTAAGGTGGGTGTTGTGTTCTAGATGCAATTCGATTGGTCAAACTACTCGACATTAAGCAAACCACACTTTATTCATGCACTATAATTAAAATGCAACCAAAGAAAGAAGAAATTGGAACAACTTAACACTGTTAGAAAATTTAACAGAACAGTAGGTTATTTAACTACTATAGACAGCAACTGTTCCATACAGTAACATCCCATAAACACATCTTTAGCAAAGGCAAACTTAGTAAAACAGATTGTCACACATGCATCTCCAGCAGCAGCAACAGAATCCCCAGCTTTTAGCTGTAACAGAAGGAGGAGAAACAGCTTCCACATCAGCTTTAAGACCCCAGGGTTGCCTCTGAAAACCTAAAACTAGAAATCCTGGTTCTGTGGGAGCTTGACCCTACCCATTCAGGCTGCTTCTATTGTTCCTATTTTTTAAAAAAACCAAGGCATCACAAGCTGTTTACTTGATGGGGTTTCAAGGGTCAGCTTTTCACCTCTGTCTTAAAACCTCTTCAAAAAAACCAGGACAAAATACACCTCTTAAAGCCATTGTATCATCACAATTAGCACTAGATAATAGAGCTGGTACAGGCATAATGGGACAAATGGCCTCCTTCTGCATTGTAATGATTCTATGATCTTGAAGTGTTTATCGGCATTTGCTGTTTTCACCTAACATTTGTTTAGTTCATCAAAACAGAAGTATCTTCATGTCTAATAACAATCCCAAATCATACCCTGTATGACTTATTTTTACTTGATCCACTGACATGCCCTCTGTTTTATGTGGTCATCTGTAGGAAGCCTTGGAATCGTGCCAGACACGACTTGCCACCTTGGAGTTACATCAACAGCAGCAGCAAGTGGTACAGATTGAAAACGCCAACGCCAAGGTTCTGCTGGGAAAATGTATCAACATCTTTCTGGCCATCATGACTGTCATCCTCGTTTGCATCTCCACCATTGCCAAGTTCAGTATCCCCCTGATGAGGAGCCGTTTACATGTTGCTTGTACAATCTCTGCTGTCATAGTCGCTTTCATTGTTTGGAAAAAATGGGATCAGTTTCAGAGTCTCACAGACCATATTTTATGAATTTACCGTGAAATGGCAATACTCATCATGAATTATTTTAATTATTAAAATAAAACTTTTAAACAATGAAATATACAGGACAGAAAACATTTTGTACTATTACCTCGATATTAGGGTAGAAACACAACCTTTCTCACACAGCACTTTACTCGATATGACCATTGATAATTTGAGACAAGATCAGCTTCAACTTCTGTTGCTATCAAAGGTCCTCATTATGTGTTAGCCTTTGACCATGTGCTGTGTGCAAATTCTGACATTTGAACTGATACTTCGGATAAAAGAGAGACCAGTCACGATCTGGACGGGTCAGTGGTTTCTGACCACTCGCTACTTTATGGACCAGTTGATGAAATGACATGTGGGATGATAAATGTTGCGGTTTGCTTTATTGGGATGTTGACACCTGATGTCTTCCTGAGCCGCTTTGCTGAAAGGAACTAGGTGAAGGTGAATCTGTGGAAGAGGAGGCAAAGGCTGGCTTGTGCCAGCCACGAGTGTAATTCAACATTTCACTAACCTCACATGTTTCTGTTGACCAGGACATGGTGAACTATTTGTCAAAACCGTCCTGCAAAGTGGATATTTGTGCTTTAGGACTGAGGCAAAATGTATTTAATCCATAATTATGCTCTAACCTGCCTCACAAGGAGAAAGTAAATGAATGAATTCATTCTGTGAGGTGGGTGGAGGGTTGTCAGATCTAAATACACTTGTCTTAAAGAGGACTCTTTTAAATACACTGTGGAATAGTCATTTTTAGATACCTTATAACAAGGCATATTTATCAATTTTCTTTTCACAGGTTATCACTCAGGTTGTCTCATTTCTTCTTATGTATTCACTGACAAAATGCACTCACCTGCATCTAGAACTCTAGGATCAGGATTGTTAACTTGTTTAAATATAAACATCTGTAACAGCAGTAAAATTAGATGGCATTGGAACACGAAAGGCTTTGACTTTGTCCTATTAATGAAGACTCCTTTTTATTTTGAAGGGGTTCACCACCAATTAGGGCAATTAGGGATGAGCAGTGAGTGCTGGACTAGTACAATGACACCCATGTATCATGAATGAATAAAAAAAATTACGAAGCATTGTCCCTAGGAGGGGCCCAGCAGCCAAGTTGAATAAAGCTGTACTGCTGTATCTCTGACCATCCCAGTCACACCAAGTGCTTGACTGCACAAAACGATTCGTTCATCTTAATGATTATAACGAAATACATTCATGAATTACTGTCTTATATGCTGAATAAATTAAATCCATTGAAGGTTCACAGACTAAGGATTCAAAATTAAGAGTTTTTTTTTGAATAATATATCTGAAGGCACTTTTTGTTTCTAACTGAATTTGAGGGCCACAGAAGATGTGTTCATAATACAGTAATTTAATTAATTATCAATGCAGAAATGTCAGTAGAATCCCCACAATGTGGAAGCAGGCCATTTGGCCCATCAAGTTAACACTGCCCCTCCAAAGAACATCCCACCCAGATTCACGACTGTAATTCCCATGGCCATTCCACTCAACCTGCACATCTTTAAACTGTGGAGGAAACCAGAGCACACCCTCACAGACACAGGGAGAACATGCAGACTCCACACAGTCACCCGAGTGTGGACTCAAACCCAGCCCTGGTGCTGTGAGGCAGCAGTGCTAACCAGTGAGCCACCGTTCCACCCAAAAGAGTGGTTCCTAGTCAGCCATATGATGGAAAGAATTGGAGGTTCTATCATTGTAATTTTTGGTACAAACCACCTTAGAAATACAGAAAAATAATAAAAGTAATGGATTTTGTAGTTTCTCCATTGAGTTTATCCACACTGATTTTAATTTTAAAAAGCAACACTGCTTTCCATTTGTTACTCTGGTGGAGGAGGCTGTACGGTGGTAATGTGACCAGACTAGTGACCCACATACCCAAATAAATGCCCTTTGGTTCAAATCCCACTACAGCAATTTGTGGAATTTAAATTCAATTAATAAAATCTGGAATTGAAAACTAGTCTCAGTAATAGTGACCATGAAACTATCATTGATTGATGTAAAAACCTATCTGGTTCACTCGTACCCTTTAGGAAAGGAAATCTGCTGTGTTAAACTGGTCTTTCCTACCAGATTCACAGCAATGTGGTTAGGTCCTCACTGCCCTCTGCAAAGGTTGAGTCAATCACTGAGCTCCAGGGGCATTTATGGATGAACAACAAATGCTGAACTTGCTGGCGATGCCTACATTCCATAAAAACGAGAAAAGAAACTCTTTGCATTAACTTTCTATTTTTGGTTTGGATTCTGATGAGTTTGTATAAGATGCAAACGTTGACTAATTTGGAATACTATAGCACTAAGTGTTGTGAAAGTGTTGTGACACACCCAAATTTGCTCAATAATGAAAGTAAGAGCCTCCTTTGGGTCATGTCAGGGACTCCAGAATGTAATGTGCACTTTTTTCACTGGTTGTTGTGATGCAAACAATTGTGCACCAGAACTATCTCATATATGGATTTGGTGAAATTGTATTTTAGGTTATTTGTAGGGCACTGCTGAAACAAACCAATGTAAAACTCACTGTACAGTGTGATTTTTAACTTGAAAATGAGAAATGAATATATAAAGTATACTCCATGAAGTTCAATCGCATCATTTTCATTATTTCTACTTCAGCTATCTCTCAGCTTTCCAAGGAATATTGCTTTGATTTAGCCTCTCCATGCTGCATTGTGCAGGAACTGCTAACTGAAAACAGATTTCTGATTGCTTCCCCCTTTAAATGGGGCATGGTGCATTGCCATGCAGAAAGTGAAGTTAAGAAAGGAATTAAGACAGCAAAGAGTGGACATAAAAAAACATGGGTTGGTAAGATTAGGGAGAATCCCATGATATTCTACAATTATATCCAGGGGAAGAGGTTAACCTGGGAAAGCGTAGGGCCCATTAAGGGGCAATACGTGCATGAGCCAGAGGACATTGGTAGTTGGTTAAATAAGCACTTCTTTCTTCACTCAGGAGAAAGATGGTGTAAGTACGAAATTTGGAAAGAGGGCCTGACAGGTTCTTAAGCCTCAAGAGTGAGGAGATAGTGGAGGTTTTTGTGGTCTTAAAAGACCTGGGGACACAAAATTGTTATGGTGCAGAAGGCCATTCAGTCCATTGTACCCACATCAGTTCTATCCCCTAATGCCACTCTCCTGCCTTTTCCCCATATCCCTGTACACTGTTTCCGTCCAAATAATCATCCAAAGTCCTCTTGAATATCTCAAATGAATCTGCCTTCGTCACATTTGATTCAAGGATTGGTCCAAAAAGAGTCAAAGCAGACAGTTAATCTAATTCCAATTCTTTATGATCATGCATTCAAGCCAGTTCAAACCTCTTCATGTTCTTTTTGTCAGATTTGCAATCCTCATCGGACAAGTAGTCAAGTGCTACTGATCTATGCATTACAATCCTCATCTGAGGCCTTTAACATTTAGAAATGTCGACAGTAAAGGTAATTCTCCTTCATGGATTCTGAGTAAGAGATTGAAAGCTTCTCTTTACCACTTTATCTATTTTCTATTGTCAATTTTTATTTTCCATACATCCCATAACTCCACAGAGGCCAATATCCTGTCACCAAGTCCCCCTTTATTTACATGTGGAGGGTCTCTGACACTGATCCAGCTCCCTCAGAGCCAGCTCTCAGAGTGAAAAGAACCTCTGACACTCCTGTTCTTATCTGTCAGCCAGGGCTCCCTGACTGGACCAAGTTTACAGACCCAGTTAGGGAACTCATATCCTATGAGATCCACGTAGGGGACATTGTTCCAATCACTACACTGTAGTGTGGGAAGCAATTGGCAAAGAGAAGCTGATTCTAAGACGATCTAGAATCTGAGGAAGGATACTCCTACTTCTCAGTCAATGGCTTCAATGCTCCACGTAACCTGCAGAAAGAGAGAACTTTCATTTGTATAGCACCATTTACATCCTCAAGTCTTAACACCTCATGGCCAATGAAGTACTTTTGAAGTGAAGTTACTTGAGAGGCACTCAAATATGATGGGAAGTTACCTTGCTTCCTGTGTAAACCATCCTTTCGTCTTTATGCCCAGGACACATTGGGGCAGATTTCCCCTATGAAAATTCCAACAGGGTACTCAGCCCCCTAAATTTGAGGGCTAAGCCTCATTAGCACAAGCTGTGGGCAAAAGATAAGTACTTCAGGGCAGTCCACCAGGTCTGGGCCAGAATTATATCAGACAGCCCAGAATGTTATCTACAGGGCTGGAAAATGGACCAGGGCGATAGGGAGACACAGGGGGAGGGGTATTGATATGGAGGGACTGATCTGCAGGGAGGAGGAGTTCAAGTTACCTCTGAGATATAGATAATTTCTGATCAATATGTTTAGAGATGTGATTACACACCACTGGAGCAGATGGGACCTGAACCTGGGTCTCCTGGTTCAGAGGTGCCACAAAAGCCCTTATCTTGAGATGTGCCCTCCCTTATAATGACTGGTCCCACATGAATAAATATGCACTGACATTCAGGCTCCACAGCTAACACTGGGCAGAATGTGCTCAATATATGATCTGCCCAAGTTGGGTCCTAAAATAGTATTAAGGTCCTAGTGACATAATAGGATGTTAATATGTATGAATATAACAAAAAAACCCACTAAGACAAGAGCAGCTACAGTCCATTGAGTCTCTTCAAAAATCAGGATACAACTATATCCCATAACTCCCTGTGTAGTCTCCATCTTGTAGACAATAATCTCTTGGGAGAGACAACAGTTTCTCTGAGAGAAGTCATTGTGATGTTCTCCACCATGATATTCTGTCTCTAATGAAGCCAAGGTTCCTGTCCATGATATCAATGTCCAATCCTTTCTGTATGGTAAAACTACACACACATAGCAGACTACAAATATTGCACAATTAGAGACCCCAAATCATGCACATTTTGGAAAAGCAAGCATGTAAGGCACTGACTCTTAATGACTAATCTTGTACATTGTACACCTTGTTGTAGGGCACCTTTGTGGCTATTCCAGCCAAATCTATGAGTCGTTATCCATGGGAGCAGTAAGTGGGCTTTGCCACCCAAAACATGTCTGTTTGAAGAATTCAGGGTGGCCCTGATCTGAAGGTGGATTGCATATCTCACATTGATGTGCAGACTCCCACCAACATATTGTCACATGTAATCTGTACATCGGAAGAAGAACAAAAAAAAAAGCTGGAAAGATTCCCAAGCTATGCCTGCCTCTTTGTAGGTTACATGGAACAATCCCTCTTCCGTACCTACACTGGCCCTAAACCCCACCTCTTCCTCCGTTACATTGATGACTGTATCGGTGCCGCCTCGTGCACCCACGAGGAGCTCGAACAGTTCATCCACTTCATCGACACCTTCCACCCCAACCTTAAGTTCACCTGGACCATCTCTAATACCTCTCTCTTCTTCCTGGACCTCGCTGTCTCCATCTCCGGCAACCACCTAGAAATCGATATCCATTTCAAGCCCACCAACTCCCACAGCTACCTAGAACACACCTCCTCTCACCCACCTTCCTGCAAAAATGCCATCCCCTATTCCCAATTCCTTCGTCTCTGCCGCATCTGCTCCCAGGATGAGGCATTCCACTCCCGTACATCTCAGATGTCCTCGTTTTTCAAGGATCGCAACTTCCTCCCTCAGTGGTCGAGAATGCCCTCGACCGTGTCTCCCGCATTTCCCACAACTCATCCCTCACACCCCCTCCCCGCAATAACAACCAAAACAGAATCCCCCTTGTTCTCACATACCACCCCACCAAACTCCGTATCCAACACATCATCCTCCGACACTTCCGCCATCTGCAATCCGACCTCACCACCAAAGACATTTTTCCCTCTCCACCCTTATCTGCTTTCCGGAGGGACCACTCTCTCCGTGACTCCCTTGTCCGCTCCACACTCCCCTCCAGCCCCACCTCATCCGGCACTTTTCCCTGCAACCGCAGGAAGTGCTACACCTGCCCCTACAACTCCCCCCTCACCCCCATCCCAGGCCCCAAGAAGACTTTCTACATCAAGCAGATGTTCACCTGCACATCTGCCAATGTGGTATACTGCATCCGCTGTTCCCGTTGTGGCCTCCTCTACATCGGGGAAACCAAGCGGAGGTTTGGGGACCGCTTTGCAGAACACCTACGCTCGGTTCGCACTAAACAACTGCACCTCCCAGTCGCGAACCATTTCAACTCCCCCTCCCATTCCGCAGACAACATGTCCATCCTGGGCCTCCTGCAGTGCCACAACGATGCTACCGGAAGGTTGCAGGAACAGCACCTCATATTCCGCTTGGGAACCCTGCAGCCCAATGGTATCAATGTGGATTTCACAAGCTTCAAAATCTCCCCTCCCCCAAACGCATCCCAAAACCAGCCCAGCTCGTCTCCACCTCCCGAACCTGTCCTTCCTCCCACCTCAAGCCGCACCTCCATCTCCTACCTACTAACCTCATCCCGCCCCCTTGACCTGTCCGTCCTCCCTGGACTGACCTATCTCCTCCCTACCTCCCCACCTACACTCACCTTTACTGGCTCCATCCCCGCCTCTTTGACCGGTCTGTCTCCTCTCCACCTATCTTCTCCTTCTATCCACCTCCCCCTCTCTCCCTATTTATTTCAGATCCTCCTTCCCCTCCCCCATTTCTGAAGAAGGGTCTAGGCCCGAAATGTCAGCCTTCCTGCTCCTCTGATGCTGCTTGGCCTGCTGTGTTCATCCAGCTCTACACCTTGTTATCTCGCTTAATCAAAACAGTAGATTTTAAAGAATGACTTAAAGGAGGAAAATGAAAGCACACTGTGAGCTGTGCAGTGACCAATATGCTCCACAAGTTCAGGCAGGAATCCACTTAGTCATTCGTGGCAATGACACTCAGAATTAGGGGAGGTGTAGTGGTAACGGTGATTAATTAGTAATTCAGATGCCCAGCCTAATGTTCTGGCGACATCGGTCTAAATTCCACCACGGTAGATAGTGAAATTTGAGTTCAATAAAATTAAAGAGCTGGCCTAATGGTTTAGGTGTAAAAATCCATCTGGTTCAATAATGACAATTAGGGAAGGAAATCTGCAAGCCTTACCTCGCTGGCCTAGATGTGACTCCTGACCCATGGCAATATAGCTGACACTTAACTGTCCTATGACAATTAGTGATGTAGGATCATTGACTTGATCATTGACTTCAGGAAGAAAAGAGGAAGACATGCCCCTAACTGCATCAACGGAGCTGAGGTGGAGAGGGTCAAGGGCGTCAAGTTCCTAGGAATGACGATAACAACAATCTGACATGGACCTCCCACGTAGATGCGACAGTCAAGAAAGCACAACAACACCTCTTCTTCCTCAGGAGACTTAGGAAATACGGCATGTCCACAGGACCCTTACCAACTTTTACAGTTGCACCAAAGAAAGCATTCTATTTGGGTGCATAATGGCCTGGTACGGCAACTGGTCTGCCCAGGACCATAAGAAACTACAGAAAGTTGTGTACACAGCCCAGACCATCACGGAAGCCAACCTCCCATCATGGACTCCGTTTACACTTCTTGTTGCCATGGAAAGGCTGCCAACATCATCAAAGACCCCTCCCATCTCAATAATACTCTCGTTCAACCTCTTCCGTCAGGCAGAAAAGACAGAAGCTTGAACACAGGCACTAACAGGTTCAAAAACAGCTTCTTCCCTGCTGTTATTAGACTGATGAATGGACCTGTCTAACTTCAAATCTAATGTCGATCTTGATTTATGCACCTCCTGTGCAGTTGTAACCTTGTATGCCTCACTTCTCTAAGCACCCTATGATTTGTATGTCCTTGTTTGTTTTGATTTGCCTCTACTGTTCACAAAACAATACTTTTCACAGTTCTTACGTACATGTAACAACAATTAAGCAAATCAAATCAAATCGAATGAGCATTGGCCTACACAGTGACACCATGATCCCATGAACAAACAAAACACTGCACAGCAGGAGATGGCCATTTGGTCCATTGTGCCAGTGCTGGCTCTCCAAATGACCATCCCACTTGGTGCCATTTCCCCATCTTCTCTCTAAAACATTGCATACTGTTCCTTTTCAAATAATCATCTTTTAAAGGCCTCAAGTGAACCTACCTCTACCACAATCTCAGGCAGTGCATTCCAGACCATAATCATTCATTGTGCAGAAAAAGATTACGATTTGTTTTGATTTGATTTGATTTGGAATGAAGGCTGGTTTGCATGATGGACTGGGCTGCATTCACAACTCTCTGTAATTTCTTGGGATCTTGGGCAAAGCAGTTGCCATACCAAGCTGTGATGCATCCGGATAGGATGCTTTCTATGGTGCATCTATAAAAGTTGGTAAGAGTCATTGTGGACATGCCGAATTTCCTTAGTCTTCTGAGGAAGTACAGGTGTTGGTGTGCTTTCTTGACTGTAGTAACAAGATGGGTGGATGAGGATAGATTGTTGGTGATATTTACTCCGAGGAGCTTGAAGCTCTCGACCATCTCCACCTCAGCACCATTGATACAGATTGATACGTGTCCTCCACTCTGCTTCCTGAAGTTGATGACCAGTTCCTTGGTTTTGCTGACATTGAGGGATATATTGTGTTTGCACCGTGCCACTAAGTTATTTCTTTCCTGTACTCTGCCTTGTCATTGTTTAAGATCCAATCCACTATGGTGATGTCATGAACAAATTTGTAAATAGAGGTTTACTCTTCCTCTTGTACTAATTTCATTCTTAATAAATGTTTGCTCTATTAACTGCTCCCTCCACATGTCTTTCCACCTTGAATGATCTATGCACATATATACACAGGTCCTCTGCCTCTGCACTTCCTTAGAATTGTATCCCATGTCTTATATTGTCTCTTCATGTTCTTCCTGCCAATGTATCACTATATATTTCTTTGCAATGAAATGAATCGGCCACATATTTGCCCAAGCTACCAACTTGTCTATGTCTTTCTGAAGTTCTACACTGTCCTCCTCACAGTTTACAAAGTGTAAATTTTGAAATTGTGCTCTGTACACTAAGGTCTAGATCATTTATATCAGGAAAAGCAAAGATCCAAACACTGATCCTTGGGAGTTCCACTACAAACTTTCTCCCAGTCTCAAAAGTATCCATTAACCATGTCTCTATGTTTCCTATCCCTCAGCCAATTCTGTATCCACGTTGATATTGTCCCTTTTATTCCATGGGCTATAACTTTGCTCACAAATCTGTTGTGCAACAGTGTATCAAATGTCTTTTGGAAGTCCATGTACACCACATTAATGGCCTTCTCTAGACTCTTTCCTACCTTGTTGAAAAACACCAGCAATCATTAAACATAATTTTTCCTGAAGAGGTCCATGCTGGCTTTCCTTAATTAACCTGAATTCATCCATGCGAATATTAATGTTGTCTTGGATTATTGTTTCTACAAGTTTCTACAAAGTTAGACTGGCTGATCTGCATTTGTTTGGTTTATTCTTACGCCCTTATTTGAACAAGGGTGTAATGTTTGCAGATCTTTAACTTGATGGATTAAAGGATTGTGTGGAGTGCGCAGGAAAGAGGAGTTGAGGCCGAGATGAGATCAGCCATAATCGTATACAATGGCAGAGCAGACTTGAGGGGTTGAAATACCTACTTTTGTTCCTCCTAGTTCTTATATTCTTTTTTTAGTACCTAACCGGCCCCATTCCTTTCACTACTTACAGGAGACTTTTGAACTCACAAGGCCTCTCAATCCTGATCATACAAATACCTCACTTAAACTGAAGGCCTTAATAATTCTACAGTGACTAGCACTGCTGCCTCACAGCGCCAGGGACCCAGGTTCAATTCAACCCTCGGGCGACTGTCTGTGTGGAGTTTGCACATTCTCCCTGTGTCTGTGTGGGTTTCCTCCTGTAGTCCAAAGATGTGCAGGATGGGTGAATTGGCCATGCTAAAATTGCCCATAGTGTCCAGGGATGTTTAGGTTAGATGGGTTAGACATGGGAAATGCAGGCGTAGGGGAATGGGTCTGGGTGAGATGCTCTTCAAAGGGGTGGTGTGGACTTGTTGGGCCAAATGGCCTGTTTCCACACCGTAGGGATTCTACGAAAATTGTGTTGTTCATGATTTCAGCCCATCCCAAAGTTTCAGCCAATGGAGTACTTTTAAAAAGGTTGCCGTAGTTAATGGAGGAAAGCAGGCAAAGCTCCCATGAACAGCAATGGGGCAATGACCAAATAATCTGGCCCAGTGATGCTAGGTGAGGGATAAATATTGGCCAAGGTACCCCAGACGGGAAAACTCTCCCACTTGTCCCCGAAATGGGTGCCGCCACACCTTTCCAACCCCCTGAGAAGGTGAGCGTAATGTTGGCCTAACGTTTCTTCCAAAGGATGGTACCGGTGACAGTGCAGAGCTCCTGCAGTCCTGTACTTGGTCGTGTGAGGTGGTTTTATAGGAAAGTACATGAGGAATAAAGAGTTTTATGGCCTCAGTCTGTGGAGGGTAGATTGAAGCTGAGACAAAGGTGAGTGTGGTGATGGTTACTGTTTCACAGCTCTATGTGTGTGTGTGTGCACTCACTCACTGTTTCTGCTCCCTGTCCACTCCAAACTCCTGATGTGCCGCCGCCTGTCATTCTGGGATCTTCCTGTGCTCCCCCGACCCCACCCCCTCCCGGGATCTGTGAGGCAGAGCGCCTGCGCGGAGCCGGGATCGCCTTGTTTGTTGGCGGCGGCGGGCCGGAAACGGGCGGTATTTTCCCCCTTTCGCCTCGCCATCCCACCCCGGGGTCGGGCCTGTGAGGAGATGGTGGCGGCTCCTCCTCTCTGAGTGAGTGCGGCGACTACAGCCCGGTGCTCGGGCCTGGGCCTGACCGGAGCATTCGGGAACATTCCGCGACCCAGACGGCCATCAGTCCCCAGCGGGTGTGGGGTAACTGCAGCAACCCCCTCCCCACCCCCCCCCCCCCGACAGATCAGGGCGCGGGGCGGTGGGGTCAGTAAAAAAAGCTTTAGGAGCCCCGGCGTCGGAGAGCGTTTACCGTTACCCTGGTAACGGAGAAGGGTGGCGGTTGGGAGGGGAGTAAAGGTGGAGGGAGGGCAGCGGTGGGGGGAACTGATGAAGGGGAGGGGTGTTGGAGGTGATGAGGTGGGTGTGCGATGAGGGGTGTGGGGGAGGTGATGAGGGATGGGCGATGGGGTGGCAGAGGAGGGGAAGGGAGGGGAGTGCGGTGTGAAGGTGGGCGGGGGTGGTGGTGTGAGGTAGTAGTGGTTGTGGTGTGGGGAGGTGGCAGGAATGGTGGCAGTGAGAGTGGTGTTGGGGATGGTGTGAGGAGGAGGGTGTAGGGTCAGAGGGGAAGGGTGTGAGGGCTTTGGGAGGAGAAGTCATGTCTTGGGGGGGGCAGTGTTGAATAGGTTAGGAAGAGGGCAGGATGATGTGGATGTGTGAGGAAAGTTTGGGTTATGGAGTGGGGAATAGGGGCAGGTTAGAGAGTGAGTGTGGGTTTACAGAGGAATCTGGGGGAGGGAGAGGAGATGTGGGAAGGGGAGGGGTTGACAGGTAGAGGGGTGCAAATTGGGGAAAGACAGAGTGGATAACGGATATCAGAAACGGGGAGGGGAGCGAGGGAAATGGTAAAGAGAGCAGAAATGGGGAAACTGGGAGTGGAGGATTAATTTAGAATAGCTGGTCAGCATGGACGAGTTGGACGAAAGGGTCTGTTCCTGTGCTGTACAACTCTGACACTGTGTCTATTTACTGAGGCGCATTGACCTGGATTTAGGAGCAACAGTTACTCCAAAATGCTGTCATTCTCCATTCAATTGACACGTTGTCTCAGTTTCTTGTGGTCATCCATGCTGTGGTTTCACTTCTGTTTTCGTTCAGGCACGTTGACAGAATGCTTAATTTAAAAGCAGATCGAGGAAAGTACAGAAACAATGAAAATTAACACAATGCCACATTAGATATAGTTGTTGAAAAGAAAATGATCTGTTTTTTTTAAAAAAATTGTTCATTTTTCTCTGGTTGAAATCTACACAACTGGATGTTTAAAAGGAGTTTGTTAGAATGCTACTACTTTCTTGCTCCGAAGAACATTATCATTGGTTCACAAGGAAATTTCAGCAGTTGAGGGATTGCCTTAATGGAAATGTTGAACATGTTGGGCCTTTTGAGGTTTAGATGAAGAATTAAAAAGCAGTATTCTGAGGGAGGTTTTTCAGACTGCAGAGAAAAATTTCTGAAGAAGGGTCCCGACCCGAAATGTCAGCTTTCCTGCTCCTCTGATGCTGCCTGGCCTGCTGTGTTCCTCCACCTCCGTACTTATCTCTGACTCCAGCGTCGGCAGTTCTTACCGTCTCTCAGCAGGTTAAGAATAAGTGGCCTCACATTTATAACGGAGATGAGGAACTTCTTCAAGGGTTATTAGTGTTTATCGTTCTCTTCCCTACAACAGAGATTGAATGCATTGAAAGCTGTTAGATTTTAGATCAAGGGAGTGAAGGGTTTTGAGGAGAGGTAGGAATGTGAAGTCAAAACCACACAAGATCACCTCTTATTGACTGGCTGAATTGCCTATTTCTTCTCCTATTTGTCATGTCCCTATTAGGTGTTAGGTTTTTAATCATTCACAAGCCAAACCTGATTGTCCAGAAAGCCCATGCCCACATAGGAACACCCACCACCTACAAGTTCCCCTCCAAATTATTGACTATCTTAACTTGGAAATATATCACCATAGCTTCTGTTGCTGAGTTAGACTTCTTGGATTCCCTTCCTGCCATTGCTCTGGGTACACCTACTCCAAATGGATTGCAATGGTTCAAGAAGGCAGCTCACCACCACTTGGAATAGGTACTAAATACCAGTAGCACCCACATCCCAAGAGTGAATAAAGTAAAATCTTCCTCGGTTCACCTACATAAAATAATCACATCAAAACTGCACATACACATAATAGATTTCTTAAGCAGCAATCCGATCTTGGGGTGGTGAGGGGGTTGCAGTGGTTTAGTGTACTGGAGAGCAGTTACTGTGCTAACTTATTGTGGCATGGACTGTGTAGAAAACAGATGTTGGTGTGTGGCAGTCAAACTTAGGGCAGCTAAGCTGCTCCTGAAGTTGACAATGGGGTTTAAATGTGAAGTGAAAGCAGCAGTCACTTATACACAGGAACATTGGCAAAAGCAGTGGAGAAAATTTGTAATTACTGGAGAATCTTTTCTACAATTGCTTGATCTAATAGATCTTTTGTCCTCTTGTGAAGTCACAGCAAAATTTAGTAATTTACTGAAATTGCCACCTCTGCATGACCTCAGATAGGAAAATGCAGCTTTTTATTGAGAGAGGCAAAGCCTGTAATATGCTCACTTGATCTTATGTGCATAATTTTCTGAAGGAGAGTGTAACAGGAATCTGAAGGAGTCTGTTACCCTAACCTTATTCTCTACCAGTATGCATCTTCTGTGCACCCTTTCGATTACATCATAATTCCTCTCCTGGTTGTAATGAAGTAATGAACTGTGAATGCTGGAAATCAAACAAAAACAGAAATTGCTAGTAAAAACTCAGCAGATCTGGCAACATCTGCAGGGAGAAAACGGACTTAATGATTAGAGTCCAGTGACGACTCTTCAGAACTAACTATGGGCTAAATGAGACCAAACTGACTTCTGAGGAAGAATCGTTGTACTCGAAACATCAACTCCTTTCTTCCCACAGATGCTGGAGGTCCTGCCGAGTTTTGCCAGCAATTTGTTTTTGTTTCAGACCAAACTGTTACAGCTTGTACAGCTCATTACCATATAGTACATGTACTTCTGTGGGAACAAGCTGTATTTTGGCATTTTAATCATTTTTTTTCTCCATTGTGTATCAATAATTATGTTGGACTCCAATAACTTCAAATGCCTTACTTCTTGGGACTGTTAATGGAGGGGATGAGCTGACAGTACTGATACTGATGCCTTTTTTGAGACAGTTGACGTCAGATGGCTTCGGGAAGAGTGGAATCCTGCGCACTTGGAGAGCGTTCTTTAGAAGGGAGTCCTTTGTACCCTGGTTTGTCGAATCCTCCTGCTCGATCACAGACTTCTGGCCATCTGCATTCTGCAATGGAGGCTTTGCCTAACCAGCCATCTCCGCTAAATGTGGCAGCAGGTTTATGTGGGACTGATGCAGAGCTGCAGAAGATGTTAATTGATGAGCGAATGAGATGTGAACATCACAAAACCAACTATCAGACACTGAAGGCTGAACACACAAGGTATTGTAAAAGCAAAAAAATTGTAGATGGTTTAAATCCAGTACAAAAATCTGGGAATAGTGAGCTCTGGAGAGAACAGGAGCATTAACATTTCAGGTTTAGGCTTGTGATTAGAAGAGCAATTCTAAGATGTAGTTGAAGAAAAGGAACATCAGTTACATGGAGAGATCCGTGCATTTGCTATCCTTGGGTCAAGATAATTAAAGAGAGATTTAATTCACTTGTTACCATTGCTAACAGATATGGTTGATACTGCTTTAAGATAATTACTAAAAAGGACGAACAGGGAGGGAAGGAACAGATCTTGAAGCATGTAGGAGAGATTGTAGAACATGATTACCAAGCAATGAGGAAAAAATCTTGGGGAAGATGTAGTGTTCGTGTAGTAATCTGGAAGCCAAGCCGTTGCTCATAAGGCATGAGTTCACATTGCACCACAATAGATGGTAATTGTTAAATCTGGAATTGAAAGTTAATCTCCGTAATCGCACGTACATATTAGTACCGGAGAAAACCACTCAGCCTTCAAGGCTATTCTGCCATTCGATGAGATCATTACTGATCTATTTTAAACTCAACTCCATATTCCTCCCTTGCCTAATGATCGTTATCAACTTGCTTACCACAGATCTGTCTGCTTGTACCTTAAAGATATTCGAAGTTTTTGCCTCCACTGCTCTTAGAGGAAGAGCGTTCCAAAGATGCTCAACCTTCAGAAAGAAAAGAACTGTCCTAATCCCCGTTTTAAATAGACAGACCCTTATTCTTAAACAAGAACACCGTAGCCTGATGTTCTACCGTAAGGAAAAAATATCCTTTTCAAAAAGTTAGTTTTAGACCTATTTTTCTCTCCCTCAACCTTATGTAACATGCAATTATATTATGAATTTGGTACAGTCTTTGTCATTTGTACAACAGCAAGGATATCTAGGCATTGAAGCATCACTTCTGGCCTCTTGAGCATCCCTGACTTTTGAGCCCACACCTTCAGCAGGGTCCTAAGCTCTACAATTTCCTCACTAAATGTTTCTACCTCACTCATCTCTTTCCTACTTTAAAGGAGCTCCTTAAAATTGGCTGTGCTTTTTATTACCTGTCATAATATCTCCCCTGTGACTCAATCCAATTTGTTTTATAACATACCACTGTGCTTCTGGGCAAGTTATGTTAAAGGTGCTATATAACTGCATGTGGCTGATGCAGGAATGCAAGAAAAGGATTACCAAACAGATGTCAAGTTTGATACCTGAATTATGAAGAGTGTGAAGAACTTTGCAATTGTTTACTCTGAAGAAAAATTACTTGGGGGTGATTTGCACCATCTAATATTCAGTGATAAAACAGATCATATCAGCTAAATGAATGTTTGGGTAGTAGGACCAGTTTCAATGTAATGGCTGGTGGAAATTATCAAAGTTGTGTGAACATAGATCTGATTGCTGATCCAATATTAAAATGTTTAATTTTTACTTGATGCAGGTTGCAGGACGAATACACTAAAGCTCAGCATGAATTAAAACGACTACTCGTGGATAAACAGAACACCCATGAGAAATTCCAACTTCTTCTAGCTGAACTGAGGGGGGAGTTATTAGATAAAACAAGGGAACATGAAGAACTGAAAATGCAGGTGAGGTTGAGAATTCGCTTAAAACAAAATGCCAATTGTATAAGTTTAGATATTGAAAGTAAGTGATCAGCAAAATAACTATACTGTACATTATAAAAGGGATGTCTGAAAAGACCAACTTGTTCAGGTGTGAGAAAGCAAGAAAGAGATGCATGCATTTACTTAGTGAGATGAACTAGGTGTCTGAGAACAGACTAGGAAAATCTGAGACCCAGTTACCCAGGCAAGAAATCATTCTAGTCCTTGATGCATTGTCACCATTTAACATCAATCAATAATGCAGATAACTAGGTGGAGTACACTGCAAGTAGGAAGATATCTTGCTAATCTGGCCAGGCCACATTTATCTGGAACTTCTTGTGGTCTCAGGTCATCCAAAGCCACATTAATTTATTTTAAAAGTTCTCAAATGGCATAAAGAAAATGCACTGAAGATTCCACAGGGTGGGAAGTTTGCAGAGAGAATCAAAGATATTGCTTCAAGTTGATGATATTCCATCTGAGCAGGGAAGAGCCTGGTGGCTGATCCATAACAAATGACTGGGGTTGTAAGAAAAACAGCAAAACATGGATCTCCCTGTGCCATGTTTGAATTTTTCATGGAGCTGTTTATTAAGATAACTTTGCATATTTAAACAGAGGCCTCTCCTGTTTGAGGTGAATGTAAGAAACACTGGTAAGATTGAGGAAAAGCTCGGGGGAGTTTCACCCCATTGTCTTGACATTTGTTCCTCAATAAGCATCTATAAACCCAGATTATATGGCGGTTATGAAACTGATATTGGTAGGACTTTGTCCAGATTGATTGTTGTATTTCCCTACATTACTAATTTGAAAGTACGTTGTCACCTTTGAAATACTTTGGATATCTTATGGTCATGAAAAAGTAGTTATTCAGTAAACATTATGGAAAATGTAAATCCGGAAGATCACAACTAGCCAAGACTTGCAGAGTACCAAAGCCAAAAGCCAATACTTGTTTAAGAAATATGACTGGAAAATAAAAATTGTCGTGATAAATGCTTTTGACAAAATCCTGATGATTGGAGAAGAGATCCGATAAAATGCTGCAAAAGCATAGGCCTGGCAATGTTTGTAACTAGAAAAGACTGGTTTTGCTTAAAACCTTCCATTAATATTTTTATTCTCTAAATTTAATGAGAAGGGAGTTGGGTGAAGAGGGGAAGGTAGTGATTCTTTGCCTTTTTGCTTAGCTCTTTTATCCTGCAGAAATTGTTTCTTATTCTCAGTCTTAAGTATCTGATTGGAAGGCACAGTAGGAGAAACTGATTGGAGTGTAGGGGTGAGAAATTCTACGCTCTACTTGCTCATTTCCAGTTTATAGTAAATGATCTATAAGCTTAAACTATGGCAGAGTAGCTTTAAGTGTCCATCTTGTGGCATTTCGGAAGTCAAGGACACTTGTGCAGGAAATGTCACTGGCTGCTGACACTTGAGCTTCAGGTTTTGGAGCTAGAATAGTGGCTGCAGTTACTGTGGTATGTCCGAGAGACAGGACAACATAGATAGCACGTTTAGGACGATGGTCATATCGCAGATGGATTGGGAAAGGATAATTGCCTAGCAATCCAATAGAGCTAGTGTTGCAGAAATTCCCTCTGATAATTTTGCTCGCTAGTTAGTTTTCCATTCTGGATGCTGCTGAGGGCAATGGTGCTTCAGAGGAGCACAGCAGGAGCCAAGCTTATGGCACCACAGTTGGTTCAGCTATATAGGAAGGCAGGAACAATAATGTAAGAACAGTAGTGATAGAGGATTTGTTAGGGAAATTGACAAGCGTTTGTGGTTGTAGACTGACTCCAGGGTAGAACAATGCCTCCCTGGTGCCAGATTAGAGGTGGTTAGTAGATGCAGGACATTCTTCTGGGAAAGGAAGCTGGAGGTCACGGTCCAGGTTGGTACCAGCAAATTAACTAAGAACAGAGATGCAGTCCTGCAGTCAATTTAGGGAGGTAGGTAGAAAGTTAGCAAGCAGGATCTTAAAAGTAGTAATTTCTGTACTCCCAATTTCATGTGCAAGTACAGAAATAGGATAAATGAACATGCAGCTGCAAAGTTAGTCCGGGAGAGAGGGGCTTTAAATTCTTAGGACACTGGGATTAGCCATTGGAGAGATGTCACCTGTACAAGTCGAACAGTTCAAGTATCAATAGAACTGGACTGAGTTCCTTATGCAATGCTTTGCTAGTGTTGCTGGGGATAGTTTAAACTAAAAAAGTGTGAAAAACAGGACAGAATATCAGGAATATAGAGGTGCACAAAATACCAGAGAATACAGTTATAATTAGAATAGAGAATAATTCTTAATTGGAGTTGAATAAGGGAGAACTCAAAGCATGCTAAATCATGGTTACAGTGCATTTATGTCAATGCAGAGTAATGCAAGATTGAGTTACTGACTGCCATGTGGAATTATGAATTGGGTTGGATTTGATAAGGGGCAGCACGGTGGCTCAGTGGTTAGCCCTGCTGCTTCACAGCGCCAGGGACCCGGGTTCAATTCCACCCTTGGCGACTGCCTGTGTGGAGTTTGCACATTCTCCCTGTGTCTGTGGGTTTCCTCTGGGTGCTCTGGTTTCCTCCCACAGTCCAAAGATGTGCAGGCTAGGTGGATTGGTCATGATAAATTGCCTGTAGTATCCAGGGATGTGTAGCTTAGGTGGGTTATAAGGGAATGGGTCTGGGTGTGATGCTCCAAGGGTTGGTGTGGAAACGTTGGGCCAAAGGGCCTGCTTTCACACTGTAGGGATTCTATGTCTAAGAGCATTATAGTGATTTAGAAAAATAATGTCCCAGAAGATTCAAGGACTGAATTGTTTTGACTAGAGCTTTGGAACAAAAAATGTGCAATTACATTACTCTGTAATCTATGGGTCTGTAAGTAGAGAGAACAATTGAGACTTAAATGTAAAGGGAAATTACAGAACGGTGCAAACAATTTAGAATAATTAAAGTGGTAAATTTTAATTATCCAACTCTACATTGGGATAGTGGTAATGTTAAGGGCAGTGAGGGACACGTGTTCCTAGATTGCGTCCAGGAGAATTTTCTACAGAATTGTGCCCAACCTAATGAGAAAGGAGGTCCTGCTAGAACTGGTTCTTGGGAATGAGATGGTAAACTGGATCAAGTGTCAGTGGGGAAACAGTTAGGGAATAGTGATCATTATATCAAACAATGTTAGGATGACAATGAGAACAATGGATAATCCAAAAATACAAATAATTAACTAGGGAGAGTTGACTTCAATAGGGCAAGAATAGACCTGGGCCAGTTAGCCAAAGGTTGGCAGGGAAAATGGCTGATCAGTGGGTTACCTTCAAAGAAGAACTGGTTCAGGCACCAGTAAAAAAAGGTATAGTACTGCAAAAAGGGAAGGTAAGGCAAACAAATCCAGAGCTCCATGGATTTAAAAAAGGTGCATTTTTGTGTTAGTTTCTATTACTGGTATCAGTTAGAAAAAACAAACAATTAAGAAAACAGCATCATGGACTAGATTAAACTCCCTCAAAATATATTGAGGATACCTTTTAAAATAAGAAAAAGGGAGTTTAGACTAAGTGTATGATATTGCTTTCCAGGTGCAATTTGATTGGTCAAGCTATTCAACTTTAAGCAAAACACTTCATTTGTACGTAGTAAAAATACAGACAAAAAGAAGAGATTAGTTTAACTGAAATACTTAAATTAATGTATATATTACCTGCTACTGATCAACTGTTCCAATGTAGTAACATCCGATAAGCACCCCTTGGCAAAGGTAAATTCAGTAAAATGGATAGTCTCACATGCAATTCTAGTAGCAGGAAGAGAATCCCATCTTTTAGCTCTAACAGAAAGGAATAAGAGTTTCCATATTCAGCTTCAAGACCCTAGCAACTGCTATTGGAAGGCTAAAACTAAAAATCCTGGTTCTCTGGGAGCTTGACCCTACCATTCAGGCTGCTTCTATTGTTCTAAGTTTAGAAAAATACCCCAAGGCGCCTCAAGCTGTTTATTTTATTGGCTTTGAGCAGACCGCTCTGTACTTCTGTCTCCATTTTAAAAAAAAGGAGAAAATACACCTCAAAGCCATAGTATTATCATCACATCCCTGCTTAAAAGAGGAACTGTCAATATACAAAGATGGCTTCATTTGTACAAACTTACGCTACTTACTCTATTAAGTCACTACAATAGATATACATTACATTGACTCTAAACATGCAAACGTTTGCACCTACAGTTCATTTCAGTCTTTTTCCAACCACTGGATGCCTCTGTCTTCCTTCATCAAAGTAGTGACATGTCGGCAATTATGTTCTCATCCTGCCACGTATAATTTTTAAATTGAATGGCTGCAATAATGAGCTCCATCTAAATAGTCTGGAATTTTTATGCTTAAATTTTTCCAAAAATGTTCAGCTGTTATGATTGGTATAATCAAATGTCTCAGACACAGTACTGGTAATACAAGCATTGAAACATCAACACCAACACCAAACTGATGGTTTCCTTCTCAATTGTTGAATATTTCTGTTGATGACTTTTTACAGAAAATTGAACATTCAGTAGATCTTTTTACTGTCTTCTTGCAAGCATACAACACCAACATTCACATCAATTTCCATCTTCAATGGCCTTATGTAATTGGGTGTGGCTAACACTGGGGCAGTGGTTAACAGCTTTCAGGCTGTCAGATGCCTTGTGACTGACCATCCACTGAAATTTGCTGCACTTCAAGTCAGTCAATGGAGCAACCACACTGCTAAAATTTGATACAAATGTCTGATAAAAACACTTGATCAGGAATTATTGTACTTGCCTCAATGGTGTGGGAAATTCCCCAGTAACCTTTGTTTTAACATCCTATGGGTCCATCTGTCCCTGTCCAATGACATGGCCGAGGAACATAACTTGGGCTTTTGCAAACTCCCTCTTAGCCAGGTTTTACCTCCAAGCCCACCTCTCAGTCAATCAAACAATTCAAAACATTCCTT